TCATGTACAATAGATAGCTGTAAACTAGATATGTGCATAATCAATTAGGTCACATGAGTTGCTAATAGTTTATCCAATTCTCTTAATCCATGTGCACAATACTCAGTTAGTACATGTGTATGTACAATAGATATCTGTAAATTAGATATGTGCATAAACAATTAGGTCACATGACTGGCTAATGGTTTATCCAATTCTCTTCTTCCATGTGCACAGTGCCTAGTTAGTAGTACATGTTTATGTACAATAGATATCTGTGAATTAGATATGTGCATAAACAATTAGGTCACATGACTGGCTAATGGTTTCCCCAATTCTCATCATCCATGTGTACAATACCCAGTTAGTACATGTGTATGCACAATAGATATCTGTGAATTAGATATGTGCATAAACAATTAGGTCACATGACCGGATAATAGTTTATCCAATTCTCTTCTTTCATGTACACAATACCCAGTTAGTAGTACATGTGTACGTACAATAGATATCTGTGAATTAGATATGTGCATAAACAATTATGTCACATGACCAGCTAATAGTTCATCCAATTCTCTTCTTCCATGTGCACAGTGCCTAGTTAGTAGTACATGTGTACGTACATTATATATCTGTAAATTAGATATGTACATAATCAATTAGGTCACATGACTGGATAATAGTTTATCCAATTCTCTTCTTCCATGTGCACAGTGCCTAGTTAGTAGTACATGTGGACGTACATTATATATCTGTGAATTAGATATGTGCATAATCAATTAGGTCACATGACTGGCTAATAGTTTATCCAATTCTCTTAATCCATGTGCACAATACTCAGTTAGTACATGTGTACGTACAATAGATATCTGTGAATTAGATATGTGCATAAACAATTAGGTCACATGACCAGCTAATAGTTTATCCAATTCTCTTCTTCCATGTGCACAGTGCCTTGTTAGTAGTACATGTGTACGTACAATAAATATCTGCGAATTAGATATGTGCATAATCAATTAGGTCACATGACTGGCTAATGGTTTATCCAATTCGCTTAATCCATGTACACAATACCCAGTTAGTAGTACATGTGTACGTACAATAGATATTTGTGAATTGGATATATGCACAATCAATTACGTCACATGACTGGCTAATAGTTTATCCAATTTTCTTAATCCATGTGCACAATACCCAGTTAGTACATGTGTATGTACAATAGATATCTGTGAATTAGATATGTGCATAAACAGTTAGGTCACATGACCAGCTAATAGTTTATCCAATTCTCTTCTTCCATGTGCACAGTGCCTAGTTAGTAGTACATGTGTACGTACAATATATATCTGTGAATTAGATATGAGCATAAACAATTAGGTCACATGACCAGCTAATAGTTTATCCAATTCTCTTCTTCCATGTGCACAATACCCAGTTAGTAGTACATGTGTACGTACAATAGATATCTGGACATTATATATATATATTTTTGGTTTTTTGTTTAACGTTGTATGTTGCTCGAAATTCGGTTAACTGTTAATTAAAATTCAATTCACTTAATTTGAACGTTAAACAAAACAAATCTATTAGTTAACTATTAATTAAACATGAGTTACAATTGACACAAAAAATAACTTTTAGTGTCATGTGCGATCACGCCAGAAGCGGGAGATCCCCTGAAAAGTCATTCTCGGGTTTAGTGTAGCTGTAGTTCAATACGTGTTGGTTTCGCCGTAATTCGCAGTACTTCCAAGCTAACTAACTGCAGCTACGACTCAGTATAACGACTTCACACTACTCCATACAAACGAAACAGAAAGTAAAAGTGACAAATAATTAACGTCAAATACGACTGCAAATCTCTGTGGGCTTGACACAAATTCTAGTTAAACAATGAACATGAACTTCGTCACACAGTAAGGTGACTGGTCTTTATGTGTTGTGTGTGTGTTTGTGCGGCGTACGTACCCCGTAAGACTTGCAATATCGTCGGTTCTTACCTACACCCATTTCTCGCTCCATGTCTACATTAAAAACAATGACAACAGTTGTTACCCCTGTCATGATGACAAGTACTGATATCACACTCACAGTGACGAGTATCTGCATTCTATGGTCAAGCTTCTGCTTTTTGATTTCGATAGCTTCGTTATTAACGTCTTCCATTTTGTACCGACTTCCGGGTACTCCTAGTATCCGAGTATATATTCCGTTCGGTTCGGTCACATGTATTACATTATTATACTTTCCGTATGGCGTATCTTAGCTTATTTGAATAAAGACGCCCTAACTCGCCACAATTTGTGCTAGATCGAATGCAAAGCAGCATAACCACAAACAAGGGAGAAAATATAAATTAAAGGTGGGCGATCGATTCGTCCCAAATCAAGTTGATTCGTACCAAAAATGTATTGTCGAGTCG